AATTGAAAAAAACAGGCCCATATCACAAATTAGAGAATAGAGGGTGGAAACTTCTATTGTCTCTGCAGCCTTATATAAGGGAAGGTAACTAGTTACCCAATTTCAGCCTGCAGTCCTTCAGACGGATTGGGAAAGGTCAAAATGGGGAGAGTCAGAAGCTGAGACTGAAAATTACAAGGGGGCTGTAAATATACTGTGGAGTGTTTAATTGTATTTTTAAATGTGAACTGTAATGGTCACCACATGTAGCAAGGCACGAAGTATATGGTAAATCAAGCAAGCTAAAGTTGATCACTGCTACCATTTTTCTTTTTTAAAAATGATCTTAATGTGTTTTTTTTAGGATTCTAGAATTGGGTAACACATCACTCCAAAAACATAGAGTAAGTGTTCCTGACCACTGCTACTATTAATTCCAAGTAATCTCCACCAAGACTGCCCTTATCTTCATAATTCAAATGTACTAAAGGGGACTGATATAAACACGACTGGAGAAACAGGAGTAATCTTTAATGACATAAGCTATTCTTTTTTATTATGATGGGTGGTGACACCATTAAGAAAATAAATGAGAAAACAAGACTCCTTTCCCATTTTAATCCCATAAGGAACAGGAAAATTGGCTCTGCTGTAAGCCTGTAATACTTTGTTTCAGCACTCTCTTCATTTAATGATTTCTAGGTCTGGTATGGAGAAAGCAGTCAATGGTCCTATGGAAGGAAGATACTATCAGAAAAGGAAGAATGGAAAAGAGACTGAAACAGATATTTCAAAGAGAAAAGAACTCAGAGTATTAATTCAGAAAGCAAACAGAGAAAAAAAGAAATGACAAACATTTTGTAAAAGCCAGAAAAATGGAGAAAAACAAAAACAAAAACAAACTAATCCAAAGCCAGCAACCCTGAAAATCAAATCCCCGATAAAAACAAAACATATGGGAGAACCAGAAGATAATACATCCTAAAAGAGATATTGTGTAGCTCAGTCATGCAAATCCTTCGTTTAAAGAGTCTAGAAAAAATATTTTTAAATATATCCAGATAGATGAAGAAAGATAAACAACATGGCACTACTTAAAAAAAATACGGTAAGGCTGGGAGTATATAGCTCAGTGGTAGAGTGCTTGTCTACCATGTGTGAAGCCCTGAATTCAATCTCTAGCACTGGGGGGAGGGGGACGGAGCAGGAAAGGGGGGAACATGTAAAATTTTTTCTGATCCTCACAAAGTTCTCATTACTAATCAATCAGAGACTGCAAACGATTACACCCCAATCTGGCAAGAAAGGATTATCAAGATAAAAGATGTCAATTAAAAATTAAAATAGGAAAGAATTAAAATTTTTCCTATATGAATATGTCACAGTGGACAAAGATACACATCCCAGTTATTTGTATCCTTCACTACAAATACGGAAGCAAACACAAAACAATGATTTCCTGTCTGAAGAACAAACTGTTCCTTAGTATGTGAGGTGTAAATAGCATAACCAAATGGGAATACAAATAAGAATAAGCTATGAGCTGGGCACTGGTGGCTCATGTCTGTAATCCTAGCTACTCAGGAGGCAGTGATCAGGAGGATCAAGGTTCAAAGCCAGGCGAGCAAATAGTTCAAGAGATCCTATCTTGAAAGACCCTTCACAAAAAAAAAAAAAAAAAAAAAAAAATAGGGCTGGTGGAGTGGTTCAAGGTGAAAGCCCCGAGTTCAAGCCCAAGTACTGCAGAAAAAAAGAGTAAGTTATGAAACTATCTTACTACAGGTTAGGCCTCTCCTAAAAACACACGATTAATAAATGACAGTCTATTTTGAGACTTGAAAACATTCATGGCAGACTTAGAGACCGAACTCATTCTCTCATACAAATGCCTTTGAAGTATTTATGAGGTTCTAGACACCTGGGGTACAAACTGGAGCCCCTTGTGGAGCTTACATTTAGTGGGAGGTGACCTAGACATAAAATAGAAAAATCCCTATAGTTTGTGATCCTTCTCAGAATGAATAAATTCTCATATTCTCACTAATCTAGTACAGATAGCCAAAAAGGAGAAATCACATTAAGTATGATTCAATTTTACAAAAATTTATTGGGTATACTTATGTGAGCAGTTCTAGTGCAAAGAAGAAAAGGAAAATGGTACTCAAACAAAGTGAGCAGTTCAAGCAAGGCTATGAAAGAATGAAAGTACATAATTGGGCCTAGAGGTTAGACTACAGCTGGGAGACTGGCAGGAAACGAGACTAGGTTCAGGCCAGTCTGTAAATGCTTGATTGTAATGCATTTAAATTTAATTTTGCAGGCAGCAAGGAGCCACAAGAAGATTGTAGAGAGAAAACTGACAAGATCAAATTGACACTAGTAATAGGCTACAAATGTAGTGGGTAAGATCAGAAAGATCTTAAATTAGGAGGCTAGATTCACTGACCAAAGGAAGAATAATTAGCATCTAAAGTCAAAATATACAGAAAGAGAAGAAGAGAATTTTGGAATCTGATCAGATATGGGGAGTAAAGAAGAGATAAGACACAAAGACACTTTGAAGTATTTAGCATGGGTGAGTAAATAGTTTGTGATGCCAGTAACTAATACAGAACACAGACAGCAAACAGGCTTTCAGGGAAAAATGCTGAGACTGTGATATATTTAGTACATATATCATATGTACCATTCATTCAGCTAACATATTCAGTACATCAGTATCTTCTTATAAAGATGTTAACTATACAGATAAAGCTGAAATTCTTCCTGACCATTACCCAATCTATCTTTCCTCTCTAAAAGTTTTAAGTATGATACAAAGCATGTGTGTGTGTATAAAACCTAATTACATAGATATTGTTTTGCAGAAGAGTTCTGCAGATTTTTCTCTCTTAGAGATCTAATTTAGTACGTAATTTTTTTTTTCATCTTTAAGACAATTACAAGACTAGAGGTGTAGCTCAACTGGTAGCAAGTGTGAGGCCTGAAGTTTGATCACTAGCATTGAAAAAACAAAACAAAACCCAAAACCATCCAAACAAAACAATTTCCACCACCACCACCAAGATGACACAATATTTCATAGTAAGGATGCATCAGTTTATGCAGCTATAACTACTACTGATGTACATTTAGGTTGTTCAGTTTCTAATACTACCCCAAACAATGGTGCAATGAACATCCTTATACGAGATAATAGTTTTGTAGAAGAGACCTATCTCTATGCTTTTCTAAGGAAATAATTTTCCAAATAATAAAATTCCCAATTCAGTCTATAAATGCCTTCTTTCCATAAAGACTTTTAGCAAGCCTGTGGATGGTTTCCTCTTATTTCCCATATCATTCCTAAAAGTGGCTGAACTGACATACTAAATAAGAGATCATGGGTTTTAGTTAAAACCAAAATGTTTATGTCTTCCTTTGCTTCTCTTCTCTTTATAGGAGCAACTAGAAATAACCTCTGATTAATCCCAAATCACAAGGCCAACACATGCAAGGAAGACAGAATTAGAGGAAGTCAAAATAACAGGAATAAGCTATTTCCCTTTTTTATTTGCTTTAGTTTCAGGCTAACTAAATGTCATCAGAGTCTTCAGTGGTGTAATCGTTTCTGAAGCTCTTCCCCAACTTCCAGAGAACTGTGTTTTCTAAGTAAGTACCAATTTACAAGCTAAATTCCCCTTTTCAGGAACAAATCCACCTACATATACAAAAATCGGCCTATAGGAAGATGTCAGCTAAATGAGAAATTTGCTTATTCTTCAGGCACCTTTACACCCAAACCCCTAAATGCCACAATTTATAACATGAATGACATAGGCTAAAAAGTTTTATAGCAAACAGCTGATACCAAACATTTTTTGGCAGTATTGGTGTTTGAACTCAGGGACTCTCGTTTGCAAGGCAAGTGCTCTACCTGTGAGCCATTCCCCCAAACAATTATTTTTAAGAGCTAGGTATTACAGATGAGGTTCAGTGTTTTTATGAATGAAACAGACACTTAATCTCTTAAGAATGCAATCTTCTTTTTATAAATTCCCAATTTATGAATGACCCATATGTATGAACAACTTTTCCTGCTTCTGTTGGCTCTTTTCTGCTAGAGTAGCCACCACTGACCTGGCACTTCCCCTTCACTACCTTCATGCCCTTCTCAGGGCAGACTATTTTAGGAGCTCCCACCATCCTCAGAGAACCAAGCCAAGGGGAAAGAAGGGGAGGTTTTGTGAGATGTAGTTCTGGCTTCACTAGCTACAACTTAATATTTTTTTTCTATATCTGCTCTTTCATAAATTATCTTTTTCACACGCTGTATCTTGGAGAATGTTCCATATTATACATAAAGATCTATCTCTTATTTTCTTTAATAGCTCCATGGTATTCCATTATATATCATATTATAATTTATTTGACCACGACCCTAAGATTGTTTCTAGCATTTTGTTTCTGTGAGTGATGCTGAAACAAACAGCTTTATTTACATACATTATTGTATAAGCTTAAGAACATCAGAAGCATAAATATCTAGAGGTGGAGTGACTTCTAGCTATATTCATTATAAAGTTGAGTGGGGGGCTGGGGGCCTGGCTCAAGTGGTAAAGTGCCTAACAAGCGTGAGGCCCTGAGTTCAAACCCCAGCACCACAAAAAAAAAAAAAAAAAAGAAAAGTTGAATGGGTACTGCCAAATTCTCCTAAATGAGTTGAATAGTCAATGTGTGAGAGTGCCAGTTTCTATTCACTTTTACCAGTAAGTTTGTAAAGATACATTTTCTCTGATCTTATAGTTGATTTGGTGAGCACAGTTTACCTAAAAACCAGTATCAGGAATTTAAGAATGTGAGCGTCCCATGTACTTTCATGTAAAATAGGTGCCATGGCATCTACTTCTTAAGAGTTTGCAGAGAATTTAACAAGAAGATGGGATATCTTAATTTGCAGGTAAACTGAAATTACAAACAATGAAATAACTTTCAAACCCCTCTTTCTTTATCCTTATTTTGTTCTTTTCCTTTTAACATACCTTTAAAGCCTCTATAACTAGGTCTCTTGCTTCAAGCTCTCCTTCAAGAATACTGAAAAGTGTCAAGAGTTCAGGCTTGCTGAGTTTTTCCAGATTCATCCTGAAAGCCTAAAACAAAGACAATAATCAAATAATCTCCAGAAGACAGAGTAAATCTGATACAATTAAGGAAAAAAAAAAGTGAGACAGAGAAGATCAACAATTACAATATTAAAACTTAAAGAAAGGAAATGGTCATAAGTAGATAGAAGCATAAGAGCTTTGTGATGGTCACAAACTAAATGGTAAGAGAAAATAAAATTCATTGTAAATTACTGATTTTATCACAAAGATCAATTTTTAAAAATCATTTTTTTTCTAGGCATACTTACAAACACCTAGGTCTCAGAAAGAATTAGTAACTAATCTGTTCACTAGAAATTCAAAGACCTCCCAGTTTTAGACAAACAAATTCTAAAACTGTATATAAAACATTCTGGCATCCCTCTTCAATTGTTTGAAATGAAATTTGAGAAAGATAATACTGGATCACGCCTGTAATCCTAGCTACTCAGGAGGCAGAGATCAAGAGGATGGAGGTTTGAAGCCAGCACCAGGCAAATAGTTTGGATACCCCATCTTGAAAAAACCCACTATAAAGAAGGGCTGGTAGAGTGGCTCAAGCAGTAAAAGCACCTGCCTAGCAAGCGTGAGGCCCTCAGTTTAAACCCCAGCGCAGGGCTGGCGGAGTGGCTCAAGTGGTAGAGTGTCTGCCTAACAAGTGTGAGGCCCTAAGTTCAAACCCCAGTACTGCTAAAAGGAAAATTAAAAAAAAGCTAACTAAAACATACCTCAGAAGAGCACAAGAATGCCAATTAAACCCCAGTGCAGCCCAAAAAAAAAAAAAAGACACGATTTTCTTTAAAATTGTCTTCCACAGAGAATAATTATAACAATGTTTATATTTCTTATTGTAAAACAGACTTAAATGTAACCATATGCAAATATGCTCTTAAATGACTTCTTAAAATATATAATTTAAAGATTTAAACAAACTGAATTTATTTGACTTAACAAGTTCCCATTTCTATAAGAATTTGCATCTTTTAAAATATGTTGAAACAGCAAATTGCATAGTACAAAACATAGTCCTTTCTACAATATTAATTTCTTTTTTTTTTTTTTTTTGGTGGCAATGGAGTTTGAACTCAGGGCTTCATGCTTGTTAAGTAGGAGCTATACTACTTGAGCAACTCCATCAGCCCTACAAGATTAATTTCTCACAAAACACTCAGACAGAAGCTAGTCTGCTATATACTTGGAAGGTCTTCTGACCACTGTGTATATAAGATACATTTATGTAACTTCCAAGGAAAAGCAAATACTATTTTCCCTCTCCCACTTTTTATTTCCAAATTGTCACTCTCATACAATTTTCTTTAAAGTGAATCACAGCATGAATAGTTCAAAACTGTATAGTAATCCTTGAGGATTACTATATGCCCTTGAGGGGGCACACAAAAGTCACTGACTTCAGGGCTACTGCCTTTAAGTGAAGGAGAACATGTACAAAATGTGTGTTTCAATGTGTTACTAGATGTGTTCCAGACATGCTTTACAAATCTTTTACACACAGTAAAATATTGTAAATGTAACCTCAGCTATTACTGTTAACTTTTAAGCTAGTGAATTTTAGCAACTAGTGAGTCTAACTTCAGTATTAGAGATATGTCTCATAAATCAGGCCCAGTGACACATGCCTTGCAATCCCAGGTTCTTGGGAAGCAAAGATCAGGAGGATCATGGTTTGAGATATGTCTCAACAGTTAATGTGAAAAAAAAAAAAAAAAAAAACCCCAAAAAACCCAAACAACCCTCCCTCCCCCGCCACAAGCCTACTAAAGCTATATTTAATATAAGATGGTATGTTGGAAAGAACACGAGGTTCTGCAATTGACACCAATTCTTCATCTTTCGAATTGTAGGACTGGGCAACTTCCCTTTTCCAGTTATAATTAGGGAAGATGGGGGAATTGGCATTTTTTTTTTACATGAAGATACCCAGTATCATTTTAAGAACTAACTTCTGATTCTCAATTTTCTTATCAGTTAAGGGAAGGGATGTGTGTGTGATGATATCCAACAATCCAACCCATAAGGTTGCTGAAGACCATTAATAAATGTAAAATTTTATCAAATTCCTTATAACACCTAAATAATGATTTAATTATTAATAACTACTGTCTTCTCATTTTCCAAGAGAATTCTAAGAAACTAATTAACAAAGTTGGGGGCAGCCAAATCAATGACCTCAGAAATAACTTCAGTTATTGTTTTGTAGTTAAGAATCATAAGTAAAGAACAATGACAGCATTCTGGAAGGAAGAATGGTGAGGAATTTAAAAGTCACACTGGTTTTTTAAAGAGCGCCTCCCCACTATGGTTCATTTTTGCCTCCCTCCAAGGGAGATCACAAAGCTCAGGAAATATTCTATTTAATGTTCATCCTCTCCCCTCCCTTGATGTAAAACAAAAATAACAGGTACAGGGGAAAGGTATCCATAAATACCAATGCACAGAGTAAACCAACTGGCCTTATTAGCACCAAGATAGGAAGGTAGAAATAGAGCTAAAAATGACAATGTTCATATATATTATTCTCTTCTCTTCAAATATCTTTAGTCATTAAACATTCTCATTGAGAGATCCAAAATTGTAGCTTAAAGAAGCAATATAATACAAGTAAAACATAATGGACTAATGAGAAGTGTACAATTTTGGACTCAGCTTTGTTTGACACAGAACGGCTATATGGCATTGAAGAAGAAAATTACCTAGCTGTTCTGGCCCTGAATTTCCTAAGTAGAAGAAAACAAAGTAGATAATCTCTAGAGTCCTTCTTGGTTCCATTCTAAGTTTCTGGTAAAAATCAAGTATCTGTTAAAGTACAATTAAATAAAAATAAGGGTTGGGGGTATAGCTCAGTGGTAAAGCACTTGCCTAGAATGAGAAAGGCCTTGGGTATGACAGCCAGCATCACTCCCCCCATATACACAAAGAATAAGAGGTAAATATATAAAGAACAAAATCAGATTGGACCTAAATCAAAGCCTTTGATCTGCTATGATAAATATACATCCTCATAAAAGAATAAAGTTTATACCATCTTCAATCATGTCCAGCCTAGACAAGAAAAAATGATACTCTTTGTTAATAACATAAAGACCAATACTCTTACTTCTGCACACAAACTTGAGTATCTAGAATGTTTTATGAACACACACCAATTCATTTAACTTAGTGTTTACATGAAGTGAATGCAATACAAATACCACACAGAAGGAAAAAAGGACCACTGCTGTGTAACTGAAGAACTAAAATATTCTAATAATCTTTCTTTATAAATATTAAAATTTAGAAATTCTTTGCTATTCTATACATTTTAATCTAATTTTAAAATATATGAATTTTTTTTTTTTTTTTTTGGCGGTACTGGGGCTTGAACTCAGGGGCTTCGCTTTGAGCCAATCCACGAGCCCTTTCTGTGATAGATATTTTTGAAATAAGGTCTTGAGAACTATTTGCCCAGGCTGGCTTCAAACCTCGATCCTCCTGATGTCTGCCTCCTGAGTAGCTAGGATTACAGGCAGGAGCCACTGTGCCCAGCTAATCTTAAAATATACATTATAATAAACTTTCATCTAAAATATAAAGAAAGTAAAACTGCATTAAAGTTTGGAATGACAATGATAATCCTTATGGGTGGGAATAGAGGTGATACTGACCTGATAATTGGCAGAGTCACTGGTCCTCAAGTATTAACTCTTAAGGTTTTCTTCAGTTAAAATTGGAAAAATGGACAGATATATTTAAAATGCTGTCATCATGGTGGAAGTGTCCAATGCTGCAAAATAAAAAGAAGTTTATTACCCATGTCAGCGTACTACAAACAATTTGGCAAATCCCATTAATGCTAACTGTCATTATAGTTGATGAAGCCTAACAGCTGGGAGGTTGATACTGACAAGAAAAAAGTCAGTTCTTCAAATTGAAACTGAATTAACATGAAAAGTAACAGGAATTTGACTTTCTTTTTGCAACTATAATTAGGGAAGGTTGGGGATTTTTTAAATCTTTTCTTTGTAGACAGTGTCTGCTATGTAGCCCAGGCTAGCCTTGAACACATGATCCTCCTGCCTCAGCCTATCTACTGCCATTTTAAGTACTAACTTCTGAGTGTCACTAGAGAGGACTGACTTTCTCTCCCTGAACTGGCAAAAGCCTATTTGTTTGAATAGCCATGACTTATGTACAATGCCACAATGTACTCAGAAAAATATAATTACAACTGAACTGTTCAATCTGCCAAATTTGTGTAGGGAAAATTTTCATTTTTCTACTTCCTGATAATCATAAAAAACAAATAAACCTGTGACCTACCCATTTTGTCATATCTCCAAGTTCTATTTTTTCCTGGTTATGTCCAAAAATTAAGTGTTGAATTGTATATAAATCTTTAATGTTTTCCTAATAGTACATTAAACTCAACAAATTAAAAAAAAGAAAAAGAAAAAAGAGGGACTAAGTAATATAGCTCAGTGGTAGTGTGTGTTTAGAACATGCAAAACCCTCAGTTCAATCTCCAGCACTGCAAAAGAATGGGTGTGGTCATGGGCGTTGTGGTACACATAATCCTAGCACTCAGGAGGTGGATCTGGAATTCGAGGTCAACCTGGGCTACATAGTGAGACCCCCACCTCAAAGAGGAAAAGCAAAAAGATAGCATTTTAATTTATTCAACTTATTTATTCATTGTACTTTTTGTCTTGTTGTTTAAGGAACTGAGTCTAAAAGGCTTCTTTGAGTTACTGAAACCTAACAGTAAAATGGGGAGAATGTCAAAGGAATAAAAAAATGCAGCAAATTCCTCCTTGTTTCATTCAAACAGGCATCAGTTGTTAAACTAATTATGAGTCTCTCAATTGTCCAGTCAAGAACCAACAACATACAGGCAAACCACTGAATAAGCTAGTCCATCAATTTTTGCCCAATATATAAGCAGAATTATGCATCTCAGGATTTTCAGAAACTGGCTGTTTCTAACCCACACTCATAATCAGAAATATGGCTGTAAGATTTTTGGCATGCCACATGGTGGTCTGCAGACTTACTCCCTACTTATTTTCTAAATGAGCTGTTACTTGTCATTGTCATCATCCATTAAGTGACTTTGAAAGACAAGATCATTTCAACCAGATGTTCAGTTCATTCCTTCCATTAGAATCTCTTTAAGACCCAACTTTCCTTACAGTTTACACACAGATTTTTCTAAGGCTGTCTAATGCTATAGTCTATAAATTCAAAATAAAAACCACTTGTGGACAAGCTGTCTGGATACATTATCATATTCTGTGGTACAGCCAATTGTAATTATATTAAAAATTTCTTAATAAAAAATACATATAAATACACACAATAAAAAGTTAGACATATTTCAATACCCTAGAAGAACAAGTCCATTTAAAGGCTAAATATGAAACATTTTTATGTTACCAGTACAAGATTTCAAATGAGCTTGCTCAGCACACCATGAGGTCTATCCACAGGATAATTCCCACCAATGCAGGACCAATAACTACTAAGACAGCGTGAGTCTTTTCTTTTCTGGGGGTGGCACTGGGGTTTGAACTCAGGGCTTCATGCTTGCAAAGCAGGCACTCAATTAACTGCTTGAGCCACACTTCCAGTCCATTTTGCTCTTTTTTATTTTTTTTTTCTTGGAAATGGGGGCTCTTGAACTATTTGCTTGGTCTGGCCTTGAACTGCAGTCCTCCCAATCTCAGCCTCCCCAGTAGCTAGGATTACAGGCATGAGCCACTGGTACCCAGCTAGCATGAGTCTTTTCTAAATGAACTTTCATGTGACAAGAGTCAGAAGAGTGACGGGCATCAAAAAGGACACATGCGTACGTGCACATCCACCCTCTTTAACTGCAGTGCTGATTTTCCCTAGGAAATTCTGCTGGGGCTTGGGCTCTGCTCATTTTATTCTGACCTCTTCCCTTCTCTGGAGACTACCCAAGCTCCACTCATTCTGGTTCTAATTGCGCTTCTTTCTGAAGAAGTCCTAGCTTTTGCTCTGGAACACTGAATTAATTCTACAGGGTAACAGGCATTGTTGCCCTTTTTATTATATAGAGACAAGGTGGCAGAAAAAGAAACACCCCAACAGCTTCTAAAGCTATGCAAGCAATAGGGCAGGGCAGGGTGGAGTACAAGTAAAATGTTTGTTTGTCTAGTATCTGGGTGTGAGTATAACTTTATATGGACCTAAAGGAGTTCTTTCTTTCCAAGTGGTAGGTGATATGGAACACGAAAGACAGAAAACATTTTTAAATGATTCTTAGATGTAGTTCCTGACACAGAAACCTCAAAAACAGAACAAAACAAAACAAAAGCCCTACATAGATCTGTTGATTAAAACCCAACTTAGATGGGGCTGGGGAGTGGTTAGAGCACCTGCCTAGCAAGCTTGAGGCCCTGAGTTCAAAACCCCAGTGCAAAAAAAAAAAAAAACACACCCACCCCATAAAATAAAACTCTCTTTAAAAAAAATCAACTTAGTTAATATTTCAAAAAATCAGTTATTTTACTAGGAGATCACTCTAGTAAAACTGGACAAAAATAACTTCATTTTATACTCAAATATCAAACTTAAGCAATGTATATTTGGGCTACAACTGACTCATATTAAGGCCATTCAGTAAGTTTTTAGTATTAGTAATTAGATACAAGCAAAGATGTAAAGCAAATTTGCTCCAGCTACATAAAGACTTTCACATACACGTAAGTAAAAACAGAATATGTGTCAGTTACTTCTTAAAACTCAAAGGCTAAGACTAACATACAAAATGGGTGTTTCTGACAGCTTTCCATTAAATAACACACTGTCTTAAAAACACAGTACAAATGAAGTAATAATAAAAGAAGATCCCATTTATAAATACTAAATCTAAATATGGACAAAAATGCACTGCTATTTTTAAAAATGCATTTAAAGCAACTACTTATCAGGAGGTACAAGTGTTGATACACTACCTTGCTTCTCAAAAGAGTTAAGACTCCCCATTCTCTGGCAATTCTGGTTTTCAGAAGGGTTATTTACACATTTGGGGTAAAACAGTGCCACCACTCCAAATGATCCCACTCCTCTTTGGGCATTTTAGGGTCAGGCTAGGGAAGAAAGCAATCTTCTGACCAAGAAAGCATATTTTGAAGCAGGGTGTGGAGGCACACATCTAAAATCCCAGAACTTGGGAAGGCTGAGGGAGGAGGATCAAGAGCTTAAGACCAGCCTGGGCTATATAGCAAAACTGTCTCAAAAACAAAAACAAACCCATTTTTGCTATTACTTACAAAAGTTCTAAAATCAAGGTACAAAAACCAATCTTACTTTATAATTGTACAATATTAAGCAATATAAGTTTTATTACCAGTGCCTTAAATAAAGCTTCTCTCAGTTGAAGATAAAATATACTACTATACTATTTGTATCCCTGTTATATGTGTGTTAGTTGGGCTGAGTTGTGTCCTTCATCCCCCAGAATTATGCTGACACTCTGATTCCTAGTATGCAGAATGTGACTGCATTTGGAGACAGTCTTTAAAAAGGTCACTACAGTGGTCCCCAATCCAATAGGCTGGTGTCATTAGAAATTTGGATACAGATAGGTCAGAATATGGAGAAAAGAGCAGAAGAAACCAACAACCCTGCCAACAAACTGGTCTGAGATTTCTAGCTGCCAGAATTGTGAGAAAATAAATTTCTGTTGTTTAAGCCACCCTGTTTCTTTTTTTTTAAACAAAACTAAGCAAAAGAATATAACATTCTGACCACTTTATTACTTTTAAAGACCATAAGAACTAGATCTAAGCCTTTGCCTTAGCATGACAGTAACATAACATTGGCTTTCTCAGAATGCCTGCCTCATCAGTTTGCTTTTTTCTGGCCATACTATACACAGCATTACATAAAACAGAACAGTTTGGGCACATTTTTTAGAGATTATAAATTTAAGGATCCTTTGAGGAAGGACACTTTGCGTTACCCTGAAATATAACATGAGTAGTGCACTTACAAGGAAATCACAATGGTGTTAAGGGATCAAGATGCTTATTTATCCAATACTGTCAAGATAGACTTTGAAGTGGGTCTCAAGAGACCAGCTCTGCAGTTAAGCTAATACTCTTAAGGTCAACGTTTATAATACTGTAGTACTCTTCACAAATGCACAGTATTCTATTCAAAGCAGCTCCTAGGATACCAGACTTTCTGTATTTATGCTTACTACAGAAATGAATAAAAACATTAATCACCACTGCCTCAGAGTTCTATAGCACAATTTTCTAAGAATAATTCAATAACAACAATAAGATAACAAAATAAGATAACAAAAAGATAAGCATTTACTGAGCTGAACATTAATGTGTGCCAGACGATATTCACTCCTCACAACAACTTTAGGTGCTGCCATAACCATCATTAACAAATTCATTTCTACCACCCCCATTTAACAGATGGCAAAGCAGAAGCAGAAGGGTTGAATAACTTGAAGTCTCATAGCTAGTTATGAGGTAGGAATGGGATCTGAACATAGGTAATTTGACTTCAGAAGCTTCCTTGGAAGCCACTGTTCCTATTTTATCAGCTTTAGGAATGGTATGAAGGAACAATATACTGGGCACCTGTGGCTCATGCCTGTAATCCTGGCTACTTGGGAGGCTGAGATCAGAAGGATCAAGGCTCGAGGCCAGTCCAGGCCAATAGTTTGTGAGACCCAACCCCCCATCTCCAAAATAACCAGAGCAAAATGGATTGGAGGTGTGGCTCAAGCAGTAAAGCACC